TGCGCTACTTCTATGACCCTCCACCAAAATATGATGACATGTCAGGCACCTCAATATGGCTGCTTGGAGAAGAGTATCAGGCTGCACCGCCCAAGCCGGTAACAACAACGGACCACGACGATGTGGTTGAAGTCGAATCCTCGTCAGATTCCCATGACCCTTCTGATACGAGCGCTCTGTCATCGACAGCAGATCAACCCACACAACAGCAACCTCATGAATCTCTATCGCACAATACAAGCAGTTTTGATGATGCCCAGCATGTCACGGGAGGAAACAATCTCCCGTCACTGTCGAATGACCCTTCCGATCGAGGTTGGCCCATCGCGTTTCTCGATGACTTCGAATCTCGGATATGGATGACCTATCGTTCCAACTTTACGCCTATCCCTCGCTCGCAAGAGCCCGGTTCCACTATGTCCTTATCGTTTTCCGTTCGCCTACGCAATTTTGCCGAGAGAGATGGCTTCAGTAGCGATACAGGCTGGGGATGTATGATCCGCTCAGGACAATCTCTTTTGGCAAACGCTCTGGTCATGCTCCATCTGGGGCGGGACTGGCGGCGACCTCACACATATACCAACCGTACTGTGTCTCCTCCAAATGGCCACTGCCTCAACTTGCCTCCCGTCACCCAGACACAAAGTGAGGCCTCTATCCTTTCTCTCTTCGCCGACTCCCCCCTCGCCCCATTTTCCATTCACCGTTTCGTCCAGCACGGCGCATCCGCCTGCGGCACACATCCAGGCCAGTGGTTTGGGCCTTCTGCCACAGCATCATGCATCAAAGAGCTCTCCGCCGAGTGTGCTGCCGCAGGTCTACGAGTCTACGTGACCCCATCCGCGAGCGAAGTTTATGAAGACAAGTTCCGCAGCATCGCACGCGCCTCCGCTACCGATTTGACTATCAGACCTACATTAATACTTCTGGGAATTAGGCTGGGACTGGACCGAATTACACCGGTCTACCACGAAGCCCTCAAAAGCAGCCTCACATATCCTCAGTCAATTGGGATCGCGGGTGGCCGGCCGTCCTCCTCACATTACTTCATTGGGTGTCAAGGGGACCTCTTCTTCTACCTCGACCCTCATGAGACCCGCCCAGCCCTGCAGCATCACTCTGACCCAAGCGAATACACCGAGGAAGAAATCTCCACATGCCATACACGCCGTCTTCGAGGGTTAAGAATAAGTGAGATGGATCCCTCTATGCTTATCGGTTTTCTCATCAAGGACGAACAAGATTGGGAGGACTGGAAAAGAAGGATTAAAGAGGTCAAAGGCAAGGCGATTGTGTCTGTCTTTGACAAGGAGCCGCCGGTGCCTGGCGAAACAAGCGAGAGGAAGGAGGCTGTGGACGAGGTGCAGACATTCGATGACGAGGATGAGGATGACGAGACGGTGACTGTCACAGGGAAAGATTGTGATCAAGCCAAACCCGAGGGCGAGGGAGACGAGGATGGTATCAAAGTCGACCGCCAAGTGGCGGGAGAGGTGCAAAGCGATCCAGTCCATGTTGGACTCGCTAGCTCGCAAGATCCCGTCAAAATCCAAGGTTAACGGTCCTGTGGCAAGGGAAAGACACTGTCAAGGTCCTCTGGCTGCAGAAAGACGTGTCACCTGTGCAATGATGAGTACGACGCTACGCGTGACAAGAGACAAACAAAGAGTATCACTACTAATATGGCTAACGACTACCGGGGGCTTTGGAGTATCTGGCCTGTCAGGAAATGGGAATTGGGCAAAGACTATCTATACGAAAGGGGAGTGTAGTCAATCTTTTCGGCGTTTTTGCTGGTTGGGACCTGAATTTGGATCAATCTGGTCGTGCTCGGAGAGACAAGCATCTCCGCCTGTTCGGGCAGCTGTTCACGAACAAGACGAATGTTTTGCTTTCTCGACCGTGCGATCACCAAACTGTCCCTGCACATTGCAGAGAAACGCTGTGGGCAACAGGCCCTGTTTACGTTCGCGTGGTTCATGTCTATTTTGTGGCGCCTCTAGCGCGCAACCCCCTCGAACGCGTACCAAAACAACGAGTCCTGGTATCCCGACCCTCGTAATTTCATGCTAGTAATTCCAGTGCGCCGAAGACAAAAACAAAGATCGGAGACTGAACAGTTTGATTTCATGCTTTCAATTCGAATGTCTCACAAATCCAGCAAGAACTGAACCTCTGAAACTTCAGGCTTCAGCGTGGTGAATATTGTACATAACGCGAAAGCTTCTCTCTGTAGAGACTCGTAAAGCATGATTGCTGTTGATGAGCAAGCATGACCGTGGACAGCTCATCACATTGTCAATAATCCCCGATTCCCATGACGCATCGTAATGTGTTGATCAAAAACCCATTTCAACACCGTTGTTCCATTTGTGCCCACAACCCCATTTGCAGAAAACACGCGCAAAAGCCCAAGAATCAACCATCCCCATGAATATTGAAACCCAATTACTTGCTTTGAGAAGAATATTTGGTGACGGCCTTAGTACCCTCAGACACGGCATGCTTGGCAAGTTCACCCGGCAGGATCAATCTGACGGATGTTTGGATCTCGCGGGACGAGATTGTGGACTTCTTGTTGTAAGCAGCAAGCTTGGAGGCTTCGGTGGCGACGCGCTCAAAGATGTCTGAGGTAGACGTTAGAGTAGGTATCGAATCGCGGAGCACGAAGTGACTTACCGTTGACGAAAGAGTTCAGGATGGACATGGCGCGGTTGGAGATACCAGTGTCAGGGTGGACTTGCTTGAGGACTGAAGAGACGCGTCAGTACTGAATGAGGCGATTCGCGCGAAGGATTGAAATCTCACCTTTGTAGATGTATGAAGAGTAGGTCTCCTTTCGTGTCTTGCCTCGCTTCTTCTTGTCGCCAGAGGGAGCGGCGGCAGTCTTCTTGCCGGCTTCCTTCTTCTCGGCAGCGGGAGCCTTTCCAGCTGGGGCCTTGCCGCCAGTGGTGGGCTTCTTCTCAGCAGCTTTTGGAGGCATTTTTGGTGATTGAATTGATTGCGCAAAAAGCGACGATGGATGAAAGTAGTAAGTGAGATGAAATTGACTGATGGAGGCGTATGAGCGGGATGATTGATGGATGGATGAAGGAGGAAGGAAAGATGGAAGTGTGAAAGGTGGGTGACGGCGACTCTTATACCAGGCGCAAGTGCGAGAGGGAGGGCGCGGGTTGATGCGAAGTGGCAGACGCAGGCGGTCGACTCCAAGGGGTTGATCCGGGTAACAAATTGCGCGATTTTCCCAGCGTATTGTTATTGTGTCGATTTTGCTAGTTTTTGATCCAGTCAAATTGCAGGATCACAAATCTTGGCAGAAAGATATGGTAACGCGATGTAATGCTGACTCGTATTGTCAAACTCATCAGAAAAGTCATTTTTGATCATTCCCTCCCTCGCGCCACGATTGGCCCAATGCGGGCTCCGTGATCTAGCGCACTCCTCTCCCGCTGCACCTTTCATCACAAGTCCTCCAAGGTTGATCTGGAGGCGCGACTCAACTGCCCACCACCCGCATCGCCGCCTATCCTCACTCCTTTATAACTGCCCTTCCCTCCCGCCTTCCATCATCGCCTCCTTCTCTCTTTTCATCCATCGTCAACCCAAGTTTCCATCACACACTCTGCACCAGCTTTCTATCTTCACTTCATTTCACAAACTCCAACTTCTCAAACCAATCCCAATCCCATCCACTCAATCAAAATGACTGGCGGAAAATCTGGCGGCAAAGCCTCTGGCGGCAAGAGCGCTCAATCGTAAGTTTATCACCCTTCCAAACTTGTCGCATCACTCTGGATTCGATCTGTGACATTTGGTTGTGGCCTTTGCCACGTTGAAACTGTTAGACCATGATGCTAACTATACCGCAGCCGATCCTCAAAGGCGGGTCTCGCATTCCCTGTCGGCCGTGTCCACCGTCTCCTGCGGAAGGGCAACTATGCTCAGCGTGTTGGTGCCGGTGCTCCGGTCTACCTTGCTGCCGTGCTTGAATATCTTGCGGCTGAAATTCTCGAACTTGCCGGCAACGCCGCTCGTGACAACAAGAAGACCCGTATCATCCCTCGTCATCTTCAATTGGCCATCCGAAACGATGAGGAGTTGAACAAGCTGCTGGGACACGTCACAATTGCCCAGGGTGGTGTCTTGCCCAACATCCACCAAAGTACGTTTCTGCCTACACGAGATTCCACAAGACTTGCCCATACTGACTATCACAGACTTGCTACCAAAGAAGACCGCCAAGGGCAAGAACCCCAGCCAAGAGCTGTAAGCTCGTTCTGCAAATTTCTTCTGAACTGGGTTTTGAATGGGAGTTTCACGACAAATGCGATCACAACGCGGGGTTTCAGGGGTTGGGCTGGCCAGGTTTCACAGGCCTTGTTTTCAGAGTTTGTGCTTTATCATCGGACGGCAGGGTTGTGTACATTATGCTCATGGCATGCCTACTATCATCACGAACATGGATAGGAATGCAAGACGGGGCATGAGACATGCAAATGGCAAAGCGAATGGCTTTGCAAATGGTGATCATTAGACAGCAAATTTAATGATCGAAACTCAAATGGCAATTCATCACAAACCTGCTTCCTTTCTCGTTTGTCTTACGTGGGTGCAAGAAGCAGAGCGCAAATGAAAGATTTCTCGATAACGTGTGGCCAAATTCGCGGGTTGACATGCAGATTGCACTCGGACCAGGTAAACAAAACACTAGATCTCAACGCGTTCGGGTATGCCCATGATTGAATGATCCATTTGAACATGAATCCTGGGGAAATAGGAGTGCAAGTAACCGGCAATAGAGCATAGATCGGCTGGTTTCCACAGACAGTTTTGGCACATGAGTTCTCGAGAAATAGGATCGGAGAGGGACACTGGAGGTTCAAGTTCTCCAGAGCTCTTTTTAGCAAATCAACCTTTGCGGTGAACGAGGTGTTTCTTCCGCTCTTTGCGACAGTATGTACAAGTTCTCCACCTATCCATCAATGACACCACAAACCACCTCATAACCTCTTGACAAACTCTCTCGATGGTGGCGGCAAGTCTGGGGCTGGTAGATTTCGTTCATATTTCGAGCCTGTAAACACGACAGATGAGCCACTGTACTGCACAAATGTTGTGGGCAATCTCACCTCCTGGGGCAGTTGGTGGTCTGTAAGGGTCGGGGTGCTTCCATTTCCGTAGCAGTTTTTCCGTCTCATTAAAGAGGATCTGGTGCCACCACAGGTCAGCCTGGTTTTCTGAGCTCGAACAATAGGTTCATGTGCAAGAGGCCATCTGCGTACTCTTTGTTGTCTTGGATCTGTGATATTTCTGTTCGCATCAAAGAGTGACCGGATATATACTGCTTGGCCGCGCCAGAGGTTTCGCTGCACGGCCCAGTCAAGCGCAAGCTTCAGCGACCGCCGGTAAAGGTTTCTGATGGCGATTGAGTGAGCAAGTGGGCAGACAATATGTGGCTCTTTGTCCTTCAAATCACTCACCGGACAGCCTTGACGTGAGGACTGAGAGTTGCCATGCTGGAGAGCCCTGGGATCCTCCCCACACTCTCGCTCAGTCAATAACCGAAAGGAGACGCCCACGGAAAAGTCGTGCACGGTGAGCTGCGTCCCCAGATCTCCGGCCTGACGCTTCTGTGTTTATGTCGATGGCTTGACGTCTTGCTGAAGACCTCTCGTTGAGTGTGTAATGGAGATGAGTCGATTGGAGATGCAGTTGGCACCTTGCGCAGGCTTGGCGTCCAAGCTATTGCCGGTTCTCGCTGCTGCTCGTCTCCGGCTACAGTTCCAGTGGCAGCAAGGGTGGAGCGTCTGGCCCAATGGCCCAATTCCGCCTGCGCGACTTTTCCATCCGGACGTCAGTCACTGCGTATGCCCAGCACAGTCCAATTAGAGCTCGGAAAGAGCTTTCCCTTCCCAGGTCTACAAAATCAAGAGGTCGATCCCTCTCCGCCTCTTTTCTTTTCGAGGTGACAACATTACAGTCAGGAAGTACCTTTACTTCTCTGTCCTTCCTCTCATTCTCTTCTATACCAAGCGGCGGTCCCCCCGCCTCGCATGCTACAGCCTTGAGCTCCTTCGCTCTCTGGAGCATCGATTACCCTCGTTGTGTTGCTGTACTACGCTCGCCGGACCAACTTTCCAACATGGCCTCTCTCCGGCTTCGACGGACGCCAGCCTTGGGCTCTGCGCTTGCACTGCCAAAGTGTGGTGCGTCTTTACGCACCCGCACCTTTAGTGTTCTCAGATCGAAACCTACACCTCGACAAATCTGCGTCTCGAGCTTACGGCCGTCGATTGCGCCTACGTTCGCCTCCCTGGCGCAGTACCAGCGGTTTAGTACCTCGCCTACCCGCTATGAGACGATTGTCAAAGTGCCCCAGATGGCCGAATCCATTTCTGAAGGTACGCTCAGCAGTTTCACGAAACAAATCGGGGATTACGTCGAGCAAGATGAGGAGATTGCATCTATCGAGACGGACAAGATCGATGTCTCGGTCAATGCTCCGGAAGCTGGCACAATAAAGGAGTTTCTCGTCAATGAGGGAGACACTGTGACAGTCGGGCAGGAAATCGCGAAGCTCGAACCTGGTGGTGGAGGCGGTGGAGGCGCTAAAGAAGCAAAGGAAGAGCCCAAGGAGCCTGCTTCAAAAGAGCAACCTACGAGCTCAGATCCTGAGCCGAAGAAGGAGGAGCCGAAGAAAGAAGAGGCCCCTCCCCCTCCACCCAAGAAGGAAGAAAAGCCCGCTCCACCTAAGGAAGAGAAGAAGTCTTCGCCGCCTCCCAAAGAGGCGAAGAAACCAGATGAGTCAAAAGCTGGAATTGAGTCGCCATTCGGCAAAGGCACAAGAAACGAGAACAGGGTAGGCAGGCATATGGCAATGTCCCCTCTATGAAGGCTAACGTGGACCAGGTCAAAATGAACCGTATGCGTCTGCGAATTGCAGAGCGTCTCAAGCAGTCCCAGAACACTGCTGCTTCGCTAACCACGTTCAACGAAGTGGACATGTCCAACATTATGGAGTTCCGGAAGAAGTACAAGGACGAGATCCTGAAGAATACCGGCGTCAAGCTTGGCTTCATGAGTGCCTTTGCCAAAGCTAGCATTCTGGCCATGAGAGAAGTGCCTACTGTTAACGCTTCTATTGAAGGTCCGGGTGGTGGCGACACCATTGTGTACAGGGACTTTGTAGATATCAGCGTTGCAGTAGCAACGCCCAAGGGCTTGGTGACACCTGTAGTCCGAAATGCAGAGAGCATGGAAATGATTGAGATCGAGAAGTCCATTGCAGATTTGGGCAAGAAGGTGAGTGGCCCACACGCTGTGGTTATGGCTGGTTCTGACTTGGAGACGTAGGCTCGCGATGGAAAGCTCTCTATTGAAGATATGGCCGGAGGTACCTACACCATCAGCAACGGCGGTGTCTTTGGGTCGATGATGGGAACTCCCATTATCAATCTGCCTCAGACTGCAGTGCTCGGGCTACATGCTATTAAGGACCGAGCGGTGGTTGTCAACGGCAAGATCGAGATCAGACCAGTAAGTTCCCTTGACTACGTGGAGAGTGCCAAATGCTAAGGTTGGCTAGATGATGTACCTTGCCCTGACCTACGACCACCGTCTGCTGGATGGAAGAGAGGCGGTCACGTTCTTGGTGAAGATCAAGGTAAGTATTGATGCTACATTATGTGTTACTGTGTCTGACATGAATGGTAGGAATACATAGAAGACCCGCGGAAGATGCTTTTGGCATAATCTCCTGGAGCGTCACTGCGTGGTGGAAGCCTACGTGGGAATGGATTGTACAAAACTCGGAAAATTCAGAAGCACGCTTTGTTTGCGAGATGCATTGAGCAAGGATGATGGGCACTGGGTGGACAGTCAGCACCTCTGTCCTGGGTGCGCAGTCGAATCTATGAGTAACAAAATCCAATGTCTCTGTTGTTTTCCTGAGGTCGTGAAGCCAGACTAGCTTGTGCATAGGCCATGAACTTGCTGAAGATGGTCCGCGTCTGTCTTGGTTGCCGTATTATTCCCAAACACAGCCAAATTCCTGCCTGGAGACCAGCTTGATTGCCTATCTAGGAGTGCATCCCTGACCAATTGGGAGGACTCGGATCCGGTAGAACTAGTCTGCTGGTCGGCTGGATCTCGTGTCTTCTGGCGCCTCCATGGTCGCTCACGGAGGAAGGATTCGTTATCGTTGGAACTGACCGGAAGTTGTAGCGCAGCTCGACTCGTTTACGAGGACAAGGAAATCTCTTCTTCTCCTATCCAGTCCAGTCCAGTCGAGGGTGGATGTTGTGATAGATGTAATGGATGATCCGGGTGTGGTGTGGGGACACGCGCAGATGCAGTCCCGATGGAATCAGTCCGACAAGGTCATCGTCGTTGTTATTTGGACCGACACGACCGACACCAACGACAGACACTTGTTTGAATTAGTCCGCTGTCGGGAGGGCTGTGCTCGGATTGCTTTGGTAGGCTTCGTAGGCGGACAGCTAGCCTTGTCAGTCTCTTCTTGCCCTAGAGAGGACTCATCTCTCGCTCTCTCTCTCTCTCACACATGTCTCGCACATGCATCCATACTAATCCTTCGTATCTACCTCGTACGTAGTAAATAGATCGCTCAGTCGCCGGAAATGCCGGATGCGCATGATATGTAGATCGGGGGGGTTCACAGTGCGGTCGAACGCACGACTGGTCATGCTGCATCCCGACGAATAGTTTAGTTACATTGAAGACATTGACATTGACCATTTTTTGAGCTGAAAAAGAAAATGGCCTGGTCAGTGTGCCGCACGGTTTAAGTGTATCGTCCCCATGATACGTTTTTCCTACGGACCGTATTGTTGTATTGTGAGTGAAGAAAATGCAATACAGGTTGAGTTGTTGGTTGGTTGATTGATGGTTTAATGGTGATAGATGGATGGGGATTTAATTTTCGTGTATCTGGAAAATAAAATAAAACATACATAGTACACCACGACAACAATAATAATAGCAACCACAACCACCACACACTATTTAATCCGCACACGTCTCATATGACCATGCATACAGATTCAATAATCTCACCATATCCCCCCAAAACCATCAAGTGGCTTCAAACACACTTGAACGGTCACAGGACATGGGATCATAGAATCATGGACATGTCAGGCTGCATGTATCGCACCGAGACGAATACATCCCTCTTTCCCCGTACAAGGTCCGGGCTGTGAAAGGGGCATTTCCTGCGGCTGAAGAAGAGAGTATGCATTCAAGATGGAAATCTATACCGCCACTGTCACTGCTTGGCCGCACGAACTCGTCCATAACTCGTTCTTTACTGGAGACTCTCTCAGAGAGAGAGATATATATACGTTGCTATTGCCACACCAGCTTCAATGCAAGGGAGATCAAGCTCTTGAAGATTCACGTGGGAAGAGGGTGAAATGCACACACCACCAGCACATGTTAAGATCTAACACATACACGTAGGCTAGTATCACCACTTCATCACCAACTAAGACGTCTGCATCTTCAAGGCCGCAGCGATAATCCCCATGCCCGCCTCTGCAGATGTCCTGCACGGCAGATCCGGCGTCTTGTCCTCTTTGTCCCTCGTTTCCACCACCGAACAGTCCACCAAGCGAGTCTGTTCACCGTCCCAGCACATCTTTCGCTTTGCAACGTTAAACGCCTCCCATGGCTCGAGACCGTGAAAGAAAGCGACATACGCCTCGGACATTTTATCCTGTGTCGCTTTGATCTGGGGATAAACTCGGGCCGAAGGCTCGTAAAAGGTCAATGGAACCCCAAACGAGTGCCACGCGTACCCATGCAGAGGACCCGGGAAAGGATCAACGACGGAGATTTCATATGCGTAGACGGTGGTGCCCTGCTCTGCGGCGTCCGAGAGCATATCCATCGTCGGTCGTACAAATGTCTCTTCAGTCGCCCATTCCGTAAGGGTCTGTAAAGCATCATGACCACCAGAGAACAGGGCCTCCCCCGCCAGCTCCGGGGCAAGTTTGCGCACATGCTCCGCAAGCACTGCATCCGGCAGATTCTGAAATGGTGTCAGAAAGAGTGCTGCTTCGTCCTTTGTGTGGCCCATGATGATCCTCGAACACCACTGTGGCACACTATCCCAAGAGGTGGTCAACTCAAACCAGTTGGGATCCTCGATGGGCAATGAAACGCTGCCATCGAACAACTCGACAAGTCGACCTGCCGACAAAGCCCGCAGCCTCGCCAGTTTCTCAGCGTCTGACGCATCTTTTGCTATGCCTGCCGATTCGACAAGTTGATCGAAGGTAGCCTGTGCCTCCTCAAGCGACCTCAAGCGTGGCTTGGGGCTGGATTGGATCAGGGCCTGATGGAAAAGCGCGTGGCCACCTTTCAAATAGCAACAGACTGATGCAGCCCCGGCAGACTCGCCGGACAGAGTGACGTTTGACGCGTCTCCACCAAAGTGATGAATCGACTTCTGAATCCACTCAAGCCCGATACGCTGGTCATTAAGGCCTTGATTCAGAATGGGAACTTCACCAAGCGGCTTTGCTTCTTGTATAATCTCCCTCGAGCTCAAAAAGCCAAAAACGTTCAGCCGGTAATTGAGAGTCACAATGACGATCGGCCTCCCAAGATCCATGGACCTTCTCACAAGGTGGTTGTCATCTGTATTCGGGGTCAGCATGTCATATTACCAAACTTGAGGCGCTGGCACCCACTAAATTCAGTCGTGTTATCACCGTTGTTGAAACCTCACCCGTGTATCCATACAAACACCGGCAATCTGGAGTGCTCCGCAACACCCACAGACTGTGGAGGAGCATATATATTGAGGTGTAGGCAAGTGGTCTCATCGCACCTCTGAGACATTGACAATTTCTCAAACATGTGGTGCATCATAGGGTGGATGTTGTCGGTCTTTTGTGGACAGCGAGGTCCATATCGAGATGCATCCAGCTGTCCATCGAGGAGACCAAGGTCGACCCGCCCGGCTGTTCGGAATCGAGCAGGAAACTGGGCGTAGGGGATACCTAGAAAGTTAGCCACGCCCTGCTTCGATCTAGACCCATTGATTTGCACGTCTTCGGCCCGGAAACTGAAGTTCTCTCGAACATTGTCGAGTGATATGTTCTCCATAGCTCGTATCTCGGTGTCAATGGTGCCTGGACTATTGGAAAGGGGAAATCGAGACACCACCGCTCACGACAACGCAGGACAGGGAGATTGATAAAAGAAATTATACATAACAGGCTGGTATTGCTACTCGTCACTGTGAGTATGTCCACTCCAGAGTCTCCCTCCTCCTAACGGTGGGACTTCCAGTAACGCACCACGTAGAGGTCGGCTTGTCGGCAACGGACCGCACAAGAGCAACAGTGTCGCACGCCACGAGCTCATCGGCACAACAACTCGGGTCTGAGAATGTGACTGCCATGGGTGAGCACTTTGCGGTTGGTCGACGATGGATCGTGAGGCTCGAGTTAAGAACCCCAAGACCGTTAAGCAACGACCAAGGCTTGCTAGAAAGAGCAACGCCACCCAATTCGAACCGGGTACAGAGTGGTGTCCTAAAACCCATAAAAATTTCGGTGGGAAGGGGATCGCGTCTGCTCCACTATAGGCTGCGCTTAGCCCAAAATGGCCAATTTTAGGCTTCGCTTTTCGAACAATGAACTGTCACGGGAACGGGTGCGGACCAATTTTACTTTACATACATCATTTCTCCCCGTCATTTGAAGCTCTTTATTTTGCCACGGAGTCCGCGCCCAAGAGAACCAACCGGGATAAAGCACTCGAAGAATGGCGGATGGAATGGTGCTCGACAGAAAAAGGCAAGCATTTGCGGAAAATTGTCGGCGGTTTGCCATCCAAACGAGCTCAACGACTATATGGCCCACTATTGAGGAGTCGAGCATACCTCCTCACATAACTCCGAACCGGCTACTCCTGGCTGGCAACATACGCAAAGCTCCATCGGTTTGTCGAAGAGGACCGCTGTCAATGCGGGGCAATCGAGACGGTGGTGCACGTACTGGTGAACTGCCCCAAATTGAGGACGCTGAGATAACAGCTGCAGAAGAAGGTAGGTGATCCAATGGACGGCATCGCACTTATGCTCGGGGGGATACCCCGGAACGAGCAAGGCAACGTAACAGGCAGGTCAGTCAACAGAGAAGTGGTAAATGCGGTACTGGATTTTGCGGACGCATCCCAAAGATTTCGATCTAGAGCACCGGCAGGGTCTCGACGGCTGGGTCGAAGACAAAGAACACGATAGGCCCCGACGAGGCACAAACTTCGCTCATGTAATGGTATAAGTGTACGATAGATATTCAAGGATAGCTTTAGTTAGTGGCTCCCTGCATATCCCTCGGGATAGGTCAGGGTAATGAACAAACCAAACCAAACCAGACACTGATATTTGGGTCATTTTGATTCGGAGTTTAACTGCAACATTTTCCCTTCAATTGAGACGTTCTCGAGTGTTTTCAATTCCTTCCAGCGTGGGCTAAGCGACAATCGAGCATCTTCATCGCCACTGCGAATTCCGGGATATTGGTGCGCGGTCAAATTCAAAAGCTGCGACATCGTATAGCAGACAGACCTTGAATGTCTTTGTTGTATCATCTCAGGGTCATGATACAGTAGGATATACAGTCTCCCTTGGTTGTCGTCAAATACGTGATCATAGTCCCAATCCGATAGGACAGAAATGGCATCGTCTTCTCGTAGGACAATGCCGGTGGCGAAGGGTGCCAGAACATCTTCCCCGTCTTTAATTTGTTTCTGATAGAAGAATATTACTCCTAAGCTAGGAGCTACATCGAATCTGTCTCTTTCGCAGTTCAGTTGCTGTGACGAGTGGATGGAGGAGGCTGATAAGTTGTGTCCATTGGCCGGCCAACCTTGTTGACATGTCGTACAGCTGCACTTTTTAAGACGACCACTGCTCGATAACTTCATTAAATCCTCCCATGTGTAAGGGAGAGAGTGATAATACTGGGAACCACCAGAGGATATCCTCCCAAGATCGAGCGAGAAATTTGTGTAGACTGCGTATGCATCCTGAATCTGCCTGGAAATTGGTTGTACTTTTGACATGCGACTGCTGGGATATTGCTCCTTGAAAATTGTGAACAACTTCCAGGTTGTAATGCCGAAATATTGACACAATTCAGAAAATTGAGCGTATAGCATCTTTCGACGAAACATTCCCAGGAGGTTTAGCAAAACATCCTCTATCGGGGATGTATAGCTAACATAGATCAGAGCGGAATCAGAGCTAAGACTTCGTAGAGCATACACCTTGTCGCGAGGCTCTGAGCAGTGAAAAGTTCCAAATTTTGCGAGAAGGGTCTGGATATCCTCTGATGCAGCTCCTTCAGCGCAATGAATCCAGTATTGGAGTATTGAGTTGACTGGGGAGCCTTCCATGATCCATTGTAGACGTACAAACATCGAATGTTGGTTCATCAAGGCCTCCATAGTGACAGCGAAATATAACCAATGTGTTCGCTTTGATCCGCAGACTAGATGGAGTTTTCGAGCAAGGAGGATCTCTTGAACAATCCACATCCTTTTCCAGTACGTGCGACTGCATAGATTTTTGAACGCAAGGTGAAGACGGGGTCTTTCGTCAAATAAACGGTGCTGATTGAAGTACCAATCCTTGGGTTCCAGTGACTTAATCGTATCAGCATCAGAGCTGGCTTCTTCAGTAGGAATGTCCATTCTGTTGAGGAAGTCAAAGCACTCATCGCTGTCTTGTCTACTAGGACCTAACCAGGAGAAAACTTCCGACGCATTTCGAAAAATTTCATGCATTTGGGAGACTTGCTGGCTTTTTTCTGTATCATCAGCCTGGTTGATACAAATCGCGTCAATCCATAAACCTTTAAGACCAGTCGCGGTATATTGATGGAGGAGACTTGTCAGGAAGTTGACTAGATTCTGCGAGATGTGGAGACACCTGCCGTCAACTTCAATCATACCGGTATAACCAGACTTGTCCCCCCATTCATATGAGAGACAGGTGTAAGATAGGCCAAGTGCTTCAGATATAGAGACGTTATTCTCAAGGGTACATCGGATGACGCCATTAGCTGCCTGGCTTAAGAGATGAAGGAGTCGAATGTATTTTCCCGAGATCCATGGATCGAGTGGCTCGTACTGGAATGGCATGAGTTGTGTGGCATCCCTCATCGTTCCTATCTCCAACGGCGCACTGCCTGTCTTCCGCGTAACACATGTGCTATATTACACGCGTGGTGTACTGTAATACGTGCACGGCGAGTGACAGGGCAGGGACAGGGACACAAAGGAAGCACGCGATAAAGGACAAGACGGCGTTGAAGAGTTATCCAACTTTGCTTTGAACTACATCAGGCTGGGCATTAGGCAGCAAGTCCAGCGGAAACGTGGCTGAGGAAGTCGTTGCGGCTGGGATGATTAGATGGTCAAGAGTGGCGCAGTAATCATCCTTACGACGGCACTACTCGACCGAACTTTCAACATGGTCTTCCGCAGATCCCATCGAGACTCTCTCTCTCAAGTTCTGTTCATTTTCCACCTTTTGATCCGCCCTTGGTGCTGGTGCACTCGCACAATGATGCAGAAAGGGAGATGAAGCGCTTGCGAACAGGCAGAGCCTGTCAACAATGTCGCTCGTCCAAGCGACGGTAAGTCCAGAAAAAAGAACGCAGCTGTCCACATCGGAGACGTTGCTCTGACGATGTAGCGCAGTTGCGAGGGCGGTCCGCCTTGCAGAACCTGTGTGTCTAGAGGCACAGAGTGTGTCTTTGACCAGGACCAGCAGCCAACCTCTCATCGAGCTCTCCAAAATGATCAGGACGGAAGTGAGACTTCGTGGAAAGTCGATCTTCCCTCAACAGCCTCGACGGTTATAGCTTCTCTTCTTGACAGGTAAGTTGTCTTCAGAGGTAACAGGGGTCGATCACTCTCTGTCTGACTGGGGTTGAAAGATATTTCTCTGCGATCGCGCCTCACTGGCCACTTGTTTGGGAGAGAGAACTCATTCAGGATCCCTATCCTTCTCCGCTCTTACTCCGTTCAGTCTGTCTTGTGTCGGCTCACTTGGCCGGCGCCAGCGCCAGTACAACCGCCCTAGTCGAAGACATCACTCGGTCCATTCACGAATGCTTTGATGCCTACGAGCTGCTTTCTCTCCCTACACTGTCGACACTGCAGTCGCTCCTCCTGCTGCTCGCCTCGCCCCGGTTTTCTCAACAGTCCATGATGACAGCGTCCGCGTGTCGGATGGCCTTGACACTGGGGCTCCATCGACCACACCATCCTCGACCCGTGCTGTATTGGTCCTGCATCGTGGCTGCGCGCTGGGAGTCTTTGAGATCAGCGAGTACCCGCTCAGCTGACCGCGTGTGCTTTGATCTCGAAATGACGCCGCCGCAAACCGAGCCAGACCCATTGACGATCTTTGGCGCCTTGTACCATCTGTTGGCCTGCGCAGACAGAAACAGGGGGCATCTGGGGAGTTTACCCATCATCTTGCGATCCCAGGATATGTACACGCGGGGTACAATAACGACCAGGACGGAAGATGATCCCTCCACCAGCATGTCGGGACAGGATCAGGAGACTACACAGGCTCTTTTGGAACCGCTTGTCCAGTACCTGTCAGGGGCTGAATCAAGCACCAGCGATGTTCCGCCAACGATAACGACAGATCTCTCATCCGTATTTGAGCTCAATCCGTTCCACTATTGTACTCAAAAGCCTGATAAGTAAGGCTTGGGAGCACAGTGGACGGTCATAGACTTTATATCCCGGGTTGAATAGTGGTTCAGGGCACGAATTGGCACCTCTACCCTCTGATTTTGACCTGTTGCATGCACTCTCGTGCTTCTGCATACACGACACGACGCATTTGAGACAGCGTCAAAGAAATCTTCGCTTCTGGACCGTTGGTGCAGGCCCGTGAAAATTAAAGCTTTTCTGGAGACCTTTCAAGTCCAACAGTCGCCTCACTCAACGTTATATAGCCACACACACGGGTCGTGAACTTCTGGGAATCCTTTCGAAAGAACATAGCCACGAACATGCCTACACCAGCCTCAAACGCATCTCCTCGTGGTCGTCGCTCTGTTCGGCGACTGTTTGTTTCGAGCTATGCCATTTCCAAACTTGAGTTCCTCAAACGGCATAGCGGTATTCGACGCAGCTAGCCAATGGAATGTCGTGGTTTTGGAAATCTGGGTTAGACTGTTTTTCTTGCTATGCTACGCTTGTCCTGCCGCTGGCTTCGTTGCATCCTGGTGTGGAATGAGTGTCTGCTCGCTACCTGCCCAGAGTACATGATCCCACGTCCTGGACGTAGTTGGTGCGCAAGATATCTCGTATCCTTGATCCTCTTCGGACGAGGACCCCTAAGTATCTATTACCTTCCTTGACGATGAGCAAACAATAGCTGGTGGTGGAGTTCACTCGACATGGTTCCGTTGGCTGAAAACATAGACAAGTGTGTGGTCTTCATGAGGATATACGTAGGTACCGTGGCTTATCATCATCGAACAGCCTGGCAAGCGCTGGAGACAGGCAGCGTGGACATCTGTGTCTCCAAGCACGGGCACCAGGAGAGTTGCTGCAACAGCGAGATTCCCTTTAGAGCAAAGGGCGGTCGAATTGTTACCCTGCGAGGCACAGTCCATCCCTGGCGACGATGCTGCGACGCCCCCGCGTGGCAGGTGGCAAACATTGTTGGGCCACGGAGTAGCCTAGCCCTCTTTCAATTTCTCTGCCATATGGACAATGGTGCGTTGCAAAGTCCAATAGTGACGAAAGTGGCACACTTTCTCTCATTCCCGTCCAGGAGCAGCGCAGTCCTTCCTTTGAGGTCAAAATCAGTACCTGCCATCGTCAATTCTTGAGTCATTCCCTTGGATCGCAGAACTGATATTGCGTTATTTGACTTGCGCCCCCCCTCCCCCCCCGGGTCGAATTGCCATCAAACTGGCTTGGGGGAGAGAAAAAAAAAAGTCCACGGTATCGACGAGGAACCGAATTGGGAGAGTTCGGTGTGGGTATTTGTGTTACCTGAAGCGCAAAGAAATTGCACTTCTCCTCTAGACAGAGGCAAGCGGGAGAGACCCAATCCGCCCATGAAAAATCGTTCGTAATCATCGGGAGCCATCGGACGCACGGCATACTCAACATTTGAAACTCATTATTGTTCCTGATCGACCATTTGGCTGTCCAGTGCCCAGTGGATTAGTGAGAGACCACGCAAGGTGTTTGCACGACGAGCTGGTAATTGCCTCAAAGCTGCAGGACCAGGGCCGTTCACACAGCATCGGACATGTTTCCACTGCACTCAGAGGCAAGAACTTATATCTAGGAGGGATGGGGGCCGATTAGTACTTGTAGGATTATTGTGACTGTGCTCCACAAGCATGGAAGAATGCCGAGTTGGCCACCATCGTTCAAATCATGGTCGTTTGATTCGTCATATTGATTCGTCAGTCGTGCCTGTACAAGTGCAGGTCGATATCGAGCTCAGTGGCACGCTAGCTCTCGTTACCCTCCGGCAAAAGCCGTGAAGAGGTTGTGGAGATCTCAGCCTAACTCGGGATCGAGCACTGATAATGTCAAGGAATCTCTATCTTCTCTCTGGGAAGCCGGAAATAGATCGGCAAAAGCTCTCCTGGAGGTTGAACTCTTCTGAGTAAACTTCCCTTGCAAGTTACGTGGCTTTTGGTTCGGAGGTAACCAGCGTCAAATGTTTCATAGCTAGCTATCAACAAAGCTTTTGTGTCCATGTTTACCTGTGACACTAGTCGGAATGTTTGGAGGCTTAGGAAACAAAGGACTTACGCAACTTATCGTGCTTGGGGTCGATTTCCAGGTGCGAGTGGGTTGAGGCATGGACTGCCCTTTCAGACCAGATTGTGACTCTCGAGCTCTGAAGAGTCTAAGACAGAAGTCCCAAAAAAGAGTGATTCGCTCATCGGTATGGTCTCATACATCGCCGCCACTTAGCTGTAGGCAAAAGGCCAGAGGAGCTGAAGCGGGGCTTCAAACGGTGCTCGTCGTCGACTTGTGCTTCGTAATAGCGCTCGGATGTCGAACCATGAGACAGCACGAGGGATCATTAGGCGCTATGGCCGAAAGTTATTGAAGGCAAGCCAAAGTCCCTTCAACTCGATGATGGGTAAGCCAATCCCTCGTACTTCGTGGCATACGAGTAGAATGGCTCCCAGCCACAGCATTTCAATGTATCGAGCCATCAACCAACCGTGCTTGCGGGTTGGATATCTGGTGCAGTGCCAACACCCGTATGTTCTTGTTGGTCCACTTGCTCTTTCTCAGTAAGGCGCATCATGCCTGATAGGTTGTTCTCCTCCTCCTTGATTTCCGCGAGGCGAATCAAGACCAGTTGACTTGTGAAACACAGTTTGATCACCAGCACTCGCCAAGGGATTACCCACTGTCTGGGATATCGGTAAATGGCATTGGAGAATGGGCACTCATTCCTGGAACTCGTAAGTTCCCTCGCGGAACAGGCGGCAGACGCGAGATTTCTTGGGGCGCCTGGCAGGGTACCGAGTACTCGCACGGACTCGAGCTCTCGAGGTAGACGTATGGAGTATAGCGCGCAAGGGACGGGTAGCTCGCCTCGATTGACCATGCCGCACCTGTTTCGGTAGTACTTGTAGTTCTTGTAACCACGCTGATTCTTTTTGTTTCTACAGGTATTGTGCCAGAGTTCAAGACCTGGGCGTGCAAACGGACACTGTGAAGTGCAGAGGTGGAGGTCCAGGGGTTAGGGTACGAGTAGAACCTTCGTGTCCACAAGGTTGACTCCTGCGACTGGTGAGGCTGCGACTGAGGTCGGGCGCATGTGCATAAGGTATGGAGGACCCGTAGATTCTCACTCGTACACCTGCAGCCTCAGGATCAGCCTACTCGTAGTCAACCTGGCTGATTGTGGGTACTCATCTACCAAGAAGGCAAGGTAGACTTTGTGGGAGTCATGTCGCTGCAAGGAGGCTGTCCATGCACGAGAAAGGGTCAACGGGAGCGGTGAAGTTGGGTCGTTGATGATTGCTACCCAGGCGCCCCAGAAAACTTGCCTGCACCACCCAGCCAATCGTAATGCGATATTGTCTTCGAGAAAGAACCATCAAGCAAACTTGTGTGAATTGTCTGGCTCGGACGCCTCATCAAGGAGAAGTAGAGCAAGAGACTTCCAAATCAGCAGAGGCGGTCGAAAATGCCTCATCGAGGCCTGTTTGCATTCACTCCAGCAATCAACATAGCATCCTTGTAATTGTACATTTGAAAATGGGAACTGGTTCAGCCTGTACTCGCCTGGATCTTGAACTCGGGGGCTGTAACCTCGAGTCCTAGGCATGAGTCTCGTTGAAGTGACGGCCTCGACCTCTTCTCCCAACTGAAGACAGTGTCTCTCGCCGTCCATACCATACCACGCACACCTTGATGTACACCCACCGTGAACCTCCTTTTCTCATCCTGATCTTTTCCGTATACCCAACCCACCTGAAATCCATGATCGAAATCCAATGCTGGATCATCCTGCCCTCTCATTTTGCCATAAGCCATCCCATGTTAATGCAATGCTTTCTTTCCAAGGCAGCAAAAGCCCTCATTCGTCATATTTAAACACAAGTTGTCGAATTTATTCTTCTCTGTAAACAGCCCACCCATCCTCCTCCCCAAACCATGCTCTCGCTAGGGCCGCACCGCTCTCGGTGGGCTGACTGAACGCCACTTGCGCTGGCTCAATTTCCATCCCGTAAATAAATTGGCTCATAACACACTCTAGAAGATTGTTCGCAATGCCTTTGTGACGGAAAGCCTTGCTCGTCCAAATTCGACTAACGCCCACCACGGCTGGATATGTTTCCTCGGAAATACTGATGCTTGATGGATGCGATGATGAGGTGGGACTTGCAATCGGGGTGGGAATTTGCGGTTTCTGCGCCATTCGATTGCTGTCCTCGTCATTCGTTTCGGTGGCTGCGGGTGAAGCCGGACCAACAGGGTTGAAGTGAGAAGTCAGAGGAATTGTCTCGCTGGTTGTGGTCTCGCATGGTAGGACCCGATGGGCTTTGGTGATGCGCTCTGCTAGGCAAATACCGACACACTTATCGTCGATAATATGCAAGAAAGCCTTGAATCTGTCGCATTTGCGGCCACCTGATTCCTCGTCCTTTTCTCCGTCTGGAATGCGCTGGCTCCACAACTCCTCCTCTTTGATATCCACGCTGCCGAGCTCCTTGTTGACGATTCCTAGCACCTTCTGAACCACGCGTCGACTGGGGAGGGCCATCTTTCGATCCACCACAACAACACTGCCCGGGATATGCGAGACCTGATAGCACCATCGCATCGCTGACTTGAGAAATGCTTTTCCAAGTTCAATGCCCGAGCTGTCACGATTGTGGTACATATTGTGCAATTGCGTGTCTTCTGGAAGTGAAGGCGTGTAGGACATTTGGCACTGTGGACATGTTGTAGGGACAAGCGGCTGACCTAGATCGAGTATTGTTTGAACGAGTTTCTGTTTCGGTGGCGCCGGCTTCGGGACCTGTATTGTTGGTTGCGCCGCGGGCGTCCTCTCCGGAGCCGGCTGAAGCATTGGCTCGTTGCCCGAAGAATGCGAGCTTTGAACGCGTGTGCTGGAGTTGAAAATTTCGCAGAGCGGTTCGGAATCGTGACGCGTACTTCCAGGCCCACTCGGTCCGCTCCTCTGCTCCTCGCGTTTCCGC